AGCTTTCTCCTTTTGGTGTCACCTGCTGTCCCAGCAATGGCTTTGGACCCCAGCACCTCTGCTCTCCTTTGTCCTTTCTCCTCTCCTCAAGTGGGATTTGCCAAAACCTTTTCCACAAAAGATTGTTTAAAGCTGGAAAAGTCCTTTTGACACAGTTTGAAAACAAAAGTTTCTTTGTTTTAATTTCTGTTCTCCAGCAAAGGTCCAACGTCCTTTTCCACAGCAGGAAGAAATATTTTCAGTTCATTTCCCTGACAGCTGTTCTACCTTGAATATTCTCCTTTCCTTCAAATCCTCTCTTAATACCATTAACAAATCTTCCCAGTCCTGTTCTCCCCAGGAAGGGTTTGTATTTGTTTGTACATTGTTCATTTTCTTGTCTTTTTTCCCCTCATCTAGTTCAAGCTGTAAATTCTTTAGGGTGAAAGAAAAGAGCTCTATTTTGAATTTCTCTTTGAAATAATTGAGTTTATCTATTTTATCTGGGTTAGATCACCAAGAAAAAGGGCAGCATTGTCTGCTCCATGCAAGTCCACATTTAGAGTAACTTTGTGTTTGAATATTTTGCATTTTAAAGCAGAGGTTGGTTTAAGGACTGATTATCTCTGCCACTCAGCTGCCCATCACTCCAGATGTTTTCTTGGCATTATTCCTTTGCAGCAAACAGTGCTCTCTATGCCCAAATATGCTGAGACTCCTGTGGTTTGTCCCTCATCCAAGAAGCCTTTCCAAGGCACCTGAGTGAGCTGAAAATGCAGATTTGATGTTGATTTGGCAGCAGGCTGCCCTGGGCAGGGATGAGATCTCCATAACAGGCTCACCTCTTTTCCTGCTGGTCTCCCTGCGTCTGTCACAGCTTGTTACCCAAAAGTGATGCTCCAGAGAGCTGTTATGGCTGCAGCCTCTGAGACGGGCAGAGAAAATGGTCCAAATGTGTCTGCAAAATGTGTGTGAGTGGAAGCCAGCCAAGAGTTATGGAAACAGGCAGGTATTTATAAAATAATCATCCCTGCAGCGTCTCCTTCCCTGCAGAGATGGGGTTTGGCCATGGCACTGGTGGCTCTGTGCTTGTTTATCAGGGTCCAGGAGCTCACATCATCCTAAACTTTGGAATTTGTGAAAATCTTTGCACTTTCACTGTTTTCTGTTAGCTACATAATACAGAAGTCAAGCAGAAATGAAAGCAAAGGTGGTGTTGGTATCTAGTTCAGCTCAGATAAATTTATTTCCTTCCAATGGTGTTCCAGGAAAAGTGGCAGCAATGACAGATATAAAGATAATTTTTGCCTATAATTATGTGATGACAATCCTGTTCCTTTCCTGACATATCACTAATATTTCAAGCCTGCTTTTCCACGCAGCTCTAGCAAGGTTTGATTATTTCCAACTGGAGGAATAAATAAAATAGCAGAGAGCTGCTGCACTCGATAGTGCCTCATGGCTGGTGGTCTGGCAGATGATCCATAGGAACACTTAGAGGAAAATCATCTTGGAGAGCTTTAAAAGCCTTTCTTAGAAATGGATATATGTGTGATTCCATTCTCTCCTCTGCCCCAGCCATGACAAATAAACGCCACCAGTGGCAGGAAGAGCAGTCCTGGTGAAGGGCAGCAGAAACTAACTCAAAAAAAGGGATTACAGCTGAAATCTGGATTTAAAACTCTGCCTGCCCAGCCCAGGGAACAGGGCAAATGTTCTCATGGTGAGGGATGGCACAGAAAAAGAAAACCCAAAGTGTTTCCTGCCCTCATGCCAAGATGTTCTTTCTCTCCTGGGGAAAGGTTGACCCTTTTTCCTTGGGGGATGATGTGCAACCCCATAAAGAAGCAACAGACCCTGATCCCTCAGCCACGTCAGAGCAGACAAAGCCTTTGCTTTGTCTGTGCAGGTTTTGTCCAGCAGCAGGGGAATTAACGAGCACTATAATTAATTTCATGTTTGAATTTTTCAAATCCGCCAAAAAAGACTGTAAGTAATAAGTGCATGAGTAACTGCAGAAGAAAAGAGATACATTGTGGTGTCTGCTGCAAGCTGTATTTTTCTGGAAACAATGACTAATCCTGCTTTTCCAGCAGAGGATTTGATGTACATCCAGGCTGAGTGCATGAATCAGTGCTGACAACCAACAAACTGCAGCTCTCCTTGCTCCTCTGCTGTTGCTGCAGGACAGGAAGGGTGTGATTTGCTTCCTCTTGTATTCGCTGAATTTCTGCTGCTGCTGGGGAAGGGGACAGCAGAGGGCTTGGCAGGGTGGTGTCCTTGTGCCACCACCCAAAGGTGTGGCAGATGTCACCTGAACTCAGTCTGACGTGCTGGGGTGGGGCTGTGATGCATCCTGGCACCAAACCCAGGATGAGCACTGTGTTGGGGAGGATTTTGTTCTTTTCACTGTTTTGGGGAGGTTTTTGTTCTTTTCACCAGCAGGACAGGGCTGCTGGGAGAAGTTCCTTGAGATTTTATTGCAGAATCAGCCTCAATGTGTGGCTGAGACAATGGGAAGATGTCAACAGCTCACTACAACCAGCAATGATTGTTCTAGTTGTTCTACCAGAATTGTTCCAGCTGGTTACTGGGATTGTTCTAGCTGGTTACTGGGATTGCTCTAGTTGGTTACTAGAGTTGTTCTAGCTGGTTACAAGGATTGTTCTAGGTAATTACTGGAATTGTTCTAGCTGTTCTACCAGAATTGTTCCAGCTGGTTACTGGGATTGTTCTAGATGGTTACTGGGATTGTTCTAACTGGTCATTGGAATTGTTCCAGCTGGTTACTGGGATTGTTCTAGCTGATTACTGGGATTGTTCTAAATGGTCATTGGAATTGTTCTAGCTGGTTACTGGGATTGTTCTAGCTGGTTACTGGGATTATTCTTGCTGGTTACTGGATTGTTCTAGCTGGTTAGTAGAAGCACATGTACACCTGCTTCACACAATTCTTGCTTGTCTTCTTTCTATTAACAATACACAATACTTCATTATTAAGTGTAAAACCTTCTACTATCTTGCCAAGCATATTTTTCTGCAGTTTTAAGGCCTATCTCAGCCAAGCCTAAAACTCACGCTATTGTTTCTTGTCCTTGCTTGCTGTACTAATGAAACTTTTTCTACTTTCAAATTTTGCAGCTAGCTCTAATTTCTCTGCTCTTTCTGTTTCTAAAATCTACTTTTCCATAAAAGTCATAAAAATGTTATCTTTACTATTTTCTACAAGCACTGCCCCCATGATGTGCTGCTAGTACTGATCACAGGAATTATGGAATTGCAATTCCAGGGAAACCATCACCCTTTGTGCCTGTAATCAGTGGGTTTAAAAGGAAGGTTAAGGCTGTAGTAACAAGCCTGAAGGGTTGTTCATGCAACAGCAATCCCATCTTCTAAACAACCCCAGGAGCAGCTGTGTTTAATAGAATTAACCTTGCTCCAACAGCCTCCCCAGCTGGAAGAGCCTGAGATTACCCAGAAAAACAGAAATGAGCAGGAAAGAGGTGGATCAGATCCCATATCTGCATTTTCAGCAACACATTCCCACAGGGAGCAAATGGGGGAGACTGGAGCTGCAGGAGAGTGGGCACAACCAGGAAAGACACTTGCCTAAAAACCCAGAGATTTTCACCATTATCAATGTCAGTTCATGTCCCTTTATGTTTTCCTTAATTCTATTTTTTCAGTGTGGTGCTAAAATTCTATCAAGGACTTTATTTTCCAGTGGTTTGTCAGTATAAAAAGTGCCATTCCCACCCAGCCTGTTGTTCCCAGTGTAAATATGTTTTTAGGCACGGAGCAACATGATCCTACAGATTTGCAGAGGAGCTGCAAACCCTCCTGGCACTGCCTGAGGCAGCAAAAAGGCTCTGTTTCCATCCCCCCTATTTATGGAAAACCAAAGGCCATTTATCTCCTTGATTCCCCTGAGATTTCCCTATAGCTTAGTCAATAACCATGAATTACTGCTTGGCTGAGTTATTTTAGGGAAAATAGGGTAGGATGGGAAGAGGATGTGCCTCAGCAAACAAGCAGTGTCTCTAGGCTGGCTTCCCAATGGGGCCATGGTGAGGCCCTCTCCCCTTCCCTAGGAACGAATATTTCACTGCAAAAATCAGACTTTCATTTAAAACTTTGATTAGAAGTGAGTTTGGAGTTTGCTCTGTGGCTCCTGAAAGGATTCCATCCCCACAGCCCTAAACCTGCTGGTCCTGGGAAGAGCTGGGTTGATGCCACAGGGAATTTCAGCCAGAGGTGGAGGAATTACACATGGGGATGAGGACAGGGAGAAGATGCAGGGACCTCCCAACCATGGTGGCTGCTCAGTGTCCCTCAGTCCTGCCAGGGACAGGCATAATTTATTTTCTCCCCATAGACATTCTGTCATTGGAGAGCTTTTATTGGGCAATTCCAGCCATAAAGAAAACAAACAAACAAACAAAACCCCTCAACAAACAAACAAAAAACAAACAAACAAAAAAACCAAACAAAAGACCCAAAAAACCCCCAAAACCCAAAACCCCCCCCCCCAAAACAAGGCAAAATAAAACAAAGAAAAAAAATAGGGAATATTTAAATATATTTAAATCTTCCTGATCGGACCAAGAGAAATTCCTGGTGGTTTCCCTGGTTTGCTGGTGGTTTAACTTCAGCTGTGTGCTGGCAGAGCACTGGGGGATGCATCCGTGGCACTGAGACCTTTTGGGGTGTCCTGGGTGTCCCTCCAGGTGCTCCAGGATCCTCCAGGGAACACCTCGTGGTTTTATCCCTCAGCTGCTGCTGCTGTCACCAGATTTTCCCCTCACCAGTGGCACTTTGGCATCCCAGAGCTGTTATTGGATTGATGTTTGCTCTGCAATTAACACCCTCCCGTTTATTTCTGCCCTCAGCGCCTCACCTCGGTTTGGAGGGGGCTTTGTGTTTCTGAAGTGCTTTGGCAAAAAGTGGAGTTATTTCTGGTCTTGTTTTAAAAAGAAACACCCTGAAAGGAAGATTATTTATTTATTTTATTTTATTTCTAGGAGGAGATGCCGAGGGACGTGTAAACCACTTTGCAAGATCATCCCAGGAAAGGAACTAAAGGAGCCAGAACTTAGGTACAATTCTTCCTTTATTACTTTTTGGTAATAATTATTTGTGGAAAATCAAGCTTCTAGATAAAATACTCTCACTTTGGAGAAGATACAATAATTTAAAATTAAGGAAAAAAAGGAAAATTTCTTTCCTTGGAAAGATCTAAGAATCAGAATCAGGGAATGAAAAGAAGTTCCTGATCAATTTCTTATGGAAGTTTTTCCCCTATTCCATATCTGAAGGGATATTTTAAATGACATGATGGCTTTGGAAGTGCAATAATTTCTGCTGGGTTTGCTGTCAAGAAGAGCTGTCTACCCTCCCTGTAGCTTCCCTAATTAGGCTGTAAGTTTGCAAGAAAGGACATCAGTCTCAGATTTTCCTGCTCCATTGGATGATTTCCCATTTTATCAGGGCACTGGTAAGCTCTTGGGAGGGTTTTTCCTATTTTTGCTGTCCCCACTGCATCTTGGCATCTTAATGAAATCATGCTGCCAGATTCATCATTTTATCATTTGATCTTTTCTCACTCAGTAGCTCAGTGAGTTATTTCAGCTTTAGGATATCTGAAATCTTTATGGCAATTGTTTGTTAAACACAGCCTGAGTTTAAAAGAGTGACAAGATTTGGGACAATTCTTTGTTTCCATAGCACCAAATTGGGTTTGTAGGGGATTCATCAAGAGGAATTGTGTGCTGGTCAGAGGTGAGGAGATATTTGGTTGGACAGATATTCTTTAATTGCTTTTTTGAAGGTACAAATGTGGATCATTCTCTAGGGAAATTATCTGTAAATAGGATATCTATTGTGCCTTGAAGGTTTTGTCATTTTAGAGATGTTTTTAATTGAAAGCAGATAAACTGAAATCTACCTTTTGTATCTAACACAAAAGAAGTAGAAATCATCTCCCTGAGTACAATTACTGATGTAATTATAATAAATATTAATGCCATTATAATGCCCCTTGCTCAAGCTCTTACACTGGCTCAAAGCCTTTGCCCTCCAGCTCTCCCTTCAAGAGAATTTCCCAGATTTATTAAACTATTCCCATGTGTTCCAGGGCAATAACTGAGGCTTTGGAACTTATTTTGGGCAGCTGCTTTCTGCATGGATCTTCCTTGGTGGCTGTGGCTGCTGGATGTCACTGCTGCCCTTGTGAGGAGCAGAGGGCCAGGGAAATCAGCCCAACTCTAATGGAAACTAAAACCACTTTGTTCCTGTCAAAAATGGGGTTAAATTGCTGGTCTGGTCAGGGAGGAACTGGCAGAGAGTTGTTTGTGCCAATGTTGGCTCCTGGAAGATGCAGCAGAAAGAAGGAGATTCATGTTTTAAACCCAAGAAACCCAAGGCTTTTGTGCTGTGATAAAATCCCAAGCAGGTCATAAACGTGCACCAATCCATTTTAACAGAGCTCTGAGGGGTTTTTCCTGCTGCTCTGAGCAGTGTTAACAATCTGCCGTGGTGCCTCAGCCCCAGAGACAGACAGAAGAAATCCTGGCAATAAAAACTCCTCCAGTAACACCTTCACTGCTGGCGCTGCTCATGGGGCTGCATGAAAGCAGCTGCCTCTCACATTGCAGAGCACACATCTCCCAGGCACTTCTAGCACATGGAAACCACAAAATAAGAAAAGAAATTAAAAAAAAAAAAAAGCACAAACCAGGGCTGAAGCATGACATTTCCACCTCCACATACAGGAAACAAGAATGGTTCAGTAGTGCTGGCACGAAAGGGACTGAGCTCAGCTTTATCTGCTTGGGAAAGCAATAAACACCCATCTTTGAGCAGAGCTGGAGGTCACCCCCTCCTTCCTGCACACCCACTGGGCTTCTCTTCATCCTCCATCCCACAGAGGAGCTGGAATAACAAGGATGTCCTGCAGAGGATGGGGATTGCTGAGGCACAGGACTGGTTTCATCCACAGCCCAACAAAAAGAGCCACTCTGTGCTCCA